AATGTGGCACATTCTTATTGGGCCTGCAATAAAGCTGGAATTAGCTCACACTCTGATTTAATTACTTTCAAAAATATTAAAAATAAATAAATATATATCTATAATTATTATTAGCTAGTTCTAAACATTGTCCCCTTTTTAATAATCAATTTCCTTCTAATTCCAGATACCCTTTGTCTGGTTGTGAGCTGCCCAGCTTTACGAATTGGGTAAAGAGTAAATTCAATTTGGATTTGGATGCCAAGAGGACGTATCCACAGCTGCCGGAAACGTACCCGAAGCCCGTGCAGAATGCGCCCTTCCTCAATGAGCTGCGTGGCTGCACCAAGGTGGAGCACTCCCAGGAGGGTGTGGATCGGCTGGTGCGCAGTCACGGCCAGACGCTGAACGATATATACAGCCTGTGGCACAACAAATTCGAGCGCATACCAGATTTGGTGGTGTGGCCGCGCTGCCACGACGAGGTGGTGCAGCTGGTGAGGCTGGCGCACAAGCACAATGTGATGCTGCTGCCCTTCGGAGGGGGGACGAGTGTCTCGGGAGCCGTCACCTGTCCGCAGAAGGAGGAGCGCATGATCTGTGTGCTGGACACATCGCAGATGAATCGCATGCTGTGGCTCAATCGTGAGAATCTCACCGTTTGCTTTGAGTCGGGCATCGTGGGTCAGGATCTGGAGCGGGTGCTGCGCGAGCAGGGCCTGACCGTGGGCCATGAGCCGGACTCGTATGAGTTCAGTACGCTGGGCGGCTGGGTGGCCACGCGCGCCTCGGGCATGAAGAAAAATGTCTATGGCAACATCGAGGATCTGGTGGTGCGTGTGCGCATGGTCACGCCCTCGGGCACCCTGGAGCGCGAGTGCAGTGCGCCGCGCGTCAGCTGCGGCCCGGACTTCAATCACATCATCCTCGGCTCCGAGGGCACGCTGGGCGTCATCACCGAGGTCGTGCTCAAGGTGCGTCCAGTGCCGCCCGTGCAGCGCTACGGCTCCCTGGTGTTTCCCGACTTCGAGCAGGGTGTGCTCTTCATGCGCGAGGTGGCCCGGCGTCGCTGCCAGCCCGCCTCGGTGCGCCTCATGGACAATGAGCAGTTCCTATTCGGCCAGGCGCTCAAGCCCGAGAAGAGCTGGCTGGCCAGCTGCCTGGACGCGATCAAGCAGCGCTATGTGACCGTGTGGAAGGGCATTGATCTGACGCACATTTGCGCCGCCACGCTGCTCTTCGAGGGTGAGCAGAAGGATGTGCAGCGCCAGGAGGCGCTCATCTATGAAATCGCCGCACGCTACAAGGGATTTCCGGCAGGTGGCCAGAACGGGGAGCGCGGCTACTTATTCACCTTTGTCATTGCCTACATTAGGGTGAGTAGCTGGCAGACATAATCTGCTTTATATATATGCTTGGATGATTGTCATTGTTGAAAGCAAAATTTGTTACAAAATTTGGTATATATTCGAAATGATCTTGAAAGTCTATATGTACTTTGACGCTCCCAATTTTTACTTAACAAGCAAATAATGGTTTGGGCAATTATTAAAATTTTTTATGTTTATATATGTATGTATATCCCAACTTTGATATTTGCCGCTTTGCTGTAACGTAAATATTATGAAATAATTAAAATTGTTTATTGCAAACAACATTTTACGACCACAAAGTCTGCGAAATGTGCGATCTTTGAATCTACTTGTTATATTCATTGTATATTTTGCATTTACTCAAATTTATGGCTTTACGTTTTTAAAAACGTACTTGTGAATTTTTGCGAATTTTTCTTGGCATTATTTGATATTTGACATGGAAATGTTTCAATGAAAAGTAAATAAATTCTGATAATTATTCAAAAGGTAAATAGTGCCATTTCGTCACATATTCATTTTATATAAATCGAATGGCGTTAACTTAAAATAGAAACAAAATAGTATATACATATATTTTTAAAAAAAATCTATCTTTGATATTTATTAAAAACTTTTTTAAAATAATAAAAAAAAAATACACAAGTCTTAAAAAGAAAAACAGAATGACGGAAATAAATATGAGTTCGACTTTTTTTTTTTAAATAAAAAAAAAAAAACAAAATACACAAGTTTTAAAAAGAAAATAGAATGACGGAAATAAATATGAGTTAGACTTTTCATTTTATTTATTATTCATTTATTTATTTATTGTTAATTAAAAAAATTTCTTGTATATATATTAACTTAATTATTATCATAATAGTATTTAAAAATAAAAATAAAAAATAATAATAATTTATTTATTTATTTTATTAATTTATTTATTTGTTACACAGAATTAATTCTAAGTAATAATGTTTGAAGCTAGAGCAACAAAGGG